CTTTTGTATTCGCTCCGTAGAACTCTACTTTTATCAAACAGCGAGGTGAAATGAAAAGAGCGTCATCTTGAGTAGATCGTTTGTTTGATGTTATCCTTCTTATCCCTAATGAGCAAACCTTCAATGCATTAGAACCAAGTCATGGGAGGAGAAAAAAAGCAAGATTTGACTGACAAAATATAAATTCTTCCAAGCTCAGGCTGTGGCGATGTGCAACGCGTAGCGTGAATATGAATGACGGGAGAGAAAGATAATTTCTTTGTCCATTATTAACGACGCTAGAATCATATCGCGATGTGGGAATTATACAAATATGTTGATAATCATTCAAATTACAAACATACACAAGCGACCCAAACAGTAATCAATTTGCCGACTATAACGGCATACATGTAGTCATTCACACCATTCGTCTTTAATTTTGTTTTTGTTGGGGACAATTAAGCTCGCAATTAAACAACCATTAATCGTACATAGTCATCTTTATTTCACATTTCATACAATCGTCACAAAAATTAAAAGGAGGCGTATAAAACCCCAACAAAAATAAATCATAATTTATTCTGATCAAGATGAACGAGTGTGTTGATTGCCCCCCAAAACAAAGACGATCCCACCAGACAAGTTCATGCTGTGCTGTAGCAATGTACATCGCAAAGCTTCGCCACAATGAGTGGAAAGATAATACCCCGCCCGTTACGACGCAAAACGGCGCGAGAAGAATAGATCGCGACGCGAGAAGAATACATCATTTTTTTTTTTTACAAACAATGGAATGTTTATCAGAACGAAAACCGGAGGAGGGGAAGACAGGCTTTGACCGACAAATACTTCCTGTATATCAAGTTTAAGCTGTACCGCGCATCACGAGCGAGAACAATGACGGGAGAGATAATCTTCCATCGCCTGGTGGGGCGCAAAAGGGCGCAAGAAGAATAGAGCGGGTTTATACCAACAATAGACAGTTTCTTTTCATATGCAAGAAACAGGTGAGGGTGACTATTGCGCCCCTTCGCGCCCCTTTGCGCCCCAATGCGTCTCTTGGGACGCGACTGTTCTATTCATCGCGCCCCGACGCGTCCGGGCACAGTCGCAACTTTGGAAGGCTCCCCTTAAAGGATTTTGAACTAAATAAAGACCAGTTGCAATGTGTACGCGCGCAGCTAGCTCTGTGCATGATCGCGGCGTTGCTTACAGCACGCGCATAGATCCCCCCCCCCCACGTACGCATAGATTTCCCCCACGTACGCATACAGTGTATATATAAGATAGATTTTTCGGATTCGGGGCGATTCGGGAGAATCGCGCAACAAATTGGTCCAACGTCGACTCGCAAGAGCCGCCCAACAAATTGGTCCAAACTTAACACTGAACTTTAAATAACATTTACTAATTCCCTTAACTCTCCTTCATAAACAAACAGGTATAGTTCCTTATTTAATTTAAAGTCCATTACCAATTTACAGTGTTATAACAATAAACAGATTTTATAAAAATAAGTATTAACTTGTGTGAATATATATATATATATATATATATAAAACTTATTCGAATTTGTAACAGTGGCGATAATACTATTGATGTAAAAAGAAATGATTAAATAAAAAGGATGTTTTTGTTTTTGTGTTCAAACTAAAATCTTGTCTCAAACAAATGTGTTCTTCTTTTTAAGTGTCAATTTAGTTATTCCATTTACCTGTATTTCTATAGTCATATATTTTGACTGGAACGAATTAGGATTTTATAAGATACATCGCTTCTATCTCTCTCTTCCACGAGATATGGCCACAAATACCAGGCTCGCCGTGAGGGAAGGTAGGGGTGATGTGGTCGACGCCCTCAACGAGGGTGACGGCCGGTACACTAGGATAGTCAAACTGGTTCGCTGCTGCTCAGATGATGTTAAAGTATCACTTATCTATTATTTTTTAAAGTAAAGAAACAGTTCTCACACATTTACATAAGATATATGTTGGGTACACAGATTTCTTGAATGAAAACGATTAACAAATAGATTCTAGTGTTTTGTCTGAACAAGGAGGTGTTTTTCTTTTAAATTACTAAGTCTTATAAACCCAGACGTTGTGTGTCCGGACAGGTTGTGTATCCGAACAATAATTGTTGATTCAAAACAGTAACTTGAAGAAGTTTACAAGCAATATACAGTATCATACATTTTCTAAGACTTACTTTGGGCAATATTAAAAAGGACAAATAAGTATGATGGTTAGAGCTAGTGGTATATGATTATTTGTCGTTAAAACGGAAGGCAAATGTGAAAGCTTTAATATGTTTGTTAATGTCCGGACACCCCCCCCCCTCCCCTAATCATACCACATCAATGATTTGCTTGCATCTGTCACAATTATGTCATTATATTTTGCAACGATGTTTGCGCAGAGTGGAGAGAGATATAGAAATAGGGGGCAGGGAGTGAGAGAGAGAGAGAGAGATATAGAGCGAGAGAAAAAGAGAGAGAGAGAGAGAGAGAGAAAGAAAGAAAGAGAGAGCATGCGAGAGCCTTCAGGGGGACGGAGAGAGGAAGACAATGAGGGTTCATGGATATTGACAGTGGCGGATTGAGGGAGGGAGAATGGGGGCTTCACAAAACATCATTCGTAGACGCACTTTCTAAACATAGCAGCTGCACAACATTTGCACATCTTGTTTTGCATAACATAGGGTTAGGGTTAGCGTTACGTTGGTGGCTATTTTTTCTGAGAAACATGCCTATACGAGTGATTGTATAACGCAAAGTGCTTTGTCCGGGTTGGGGATATTATAAGCTTGGTCTCCCCCCTCCCCCACCCCCTCCCCTTTTCCATTATCACGATTATTCAAACAAGATACTGTAACGGCGACTTATACTGTTCGACAATAGGAAGTAAAAGTCCCAAAATATATTAGCCCCGTTATATGTTGAAGTTAAGTTGTTAGGGGTGGCCGAGATTCAGGGAGAATAAACACTCGAGAGGCAGAAATTACAGTTGAGGAGTTTATTACAGCAAACCCAAACACATTTACAAGGATGGATAAAAGAGAATGTCTTGTGAATCAGAGAGGCAAAATAATGCAGCAGGCATTAGAACAGGCTAAAAAGATAGACCATTTCTGAACAGGTTGGCTCTCGATCCATTCGTAGAGTACTCTCGCTTCAAACACTGTGATGACAGGCTTGTCACACTAACTGACACAATTAACTCTCGACAGCTCACTAGTTTCACTCTTCACTGACAGATTCTTCGCTCCTAACTGCCTAAGATACGAATGCAGTCTGTCTTATCAGGGATATGTAACTCACATATCCCTGGTCTTATATACCCTGCGAGAGAGATGGAGAAAAACCATTCATGTAGGTCACAAGTATCGCGCTGCGGAGTATTTAGGAGAAGGGCGTCATTGAGCACATAAATAGAGAGCTCAAAGTCATATTGAGAGAGAGGATACAAGGACAGAAGAGAGTCAAGACAAGAAGCAGGCTGAAAGGGCTGAAGGACAGTGCAAGGTTGAAATGAGAGTTTCGGGCAAACAAGAGCGAAGGGGAAAGAGCGAGAGCTCTGAGAGTCAGGCAAAGTCAAAGTGAGAAGTGACAGAGTGAAAGTTCTGAAAGTGAATGCAAGGTCAAAAGTGAGGAGAGAATAGAACTCCGCTGTATGCACAGCAATTGGGATCGAGCTGGCTGGATTTGTAATAGCGTAATTATAGCAAGACATCCTTAACATAGACTAGTACAATAATCATGGATAGTTGTAAAGTAGACTAAAGCATTGAATAAAATATATACATAATATTACATCAAATATCTTAATCAAACTGCGTGACACTATCCTCCCCCTACGGAAGATATCGCTGTCCCCAGCGATGAAAAGGAGAATGAAGGGAAAGTAGCAAGAAGACCAGAAGAGAAGGCTAAGAAAGGGATAGGAAAGAAAAGCAAAAGCAACAGTCAAATCATGATAAATAAAGCCAATATCGAAAAACGAATACGCAACATGCACCAGTATAGTAAAATGTAGGATAATTACAAATGTCCTTATAGTCGAATTCTTGCAACAGACGCAATGATCATAAAAATAACTTAACATCTATAGTACAACAAACACGTCATGGGGAAATGAGACCAAAGAGAGACTAAAAGAATGGAGAGAGAAGAGAAGGCAAGGTGATGACGGCGAAAGAGACAAGAGAGAAAGAGATAGAGGGAGAGAGAGAGAGAGAGAGAGAGAGAAAGAATCAGGAAAAGAGAGGGAGCGTTGTTTGTCAAAAGGAGCCTTGTGTACACAACCAACAAGTTCAAGTTTGTTCCCTACCGTATAACAATGCAAATATAGCATGGAAGAAACAGGCAAAATAATTGAGCCAATGGCCTCTAAGAAGATGTATATACACTCCAAAAAAAAAAGTGCTAAATTTAGCACTTAAAGATTCAATTTTAGCACTTTTTAGGAGCTCGCATAGTGACTGCACTCGAAGTGCTGAGTTAGCACTTGCACCCGGGCTACTTTGCTAGCACCCAAAGGAGCTGACTGTTGTGCACTTAAAGTGCCAAGTTTTGCTCTCTTTTGGGTGCTAGCAGAATAGCCCTTGTGCAAGTGCTAACTGATGCGTTGTTTGACATGCCCCATCTACATTTGGTATGTGGTCAAGGTGGATGTCCTTCGTCATTTACCACTTTCAACTCTTACAGGAAACATTTATTAAACCAACATCCACAAGAAGAACCTGAACCTGAAGTTGTACAGGGTATGGAGGGTCTAGTTGATGCTGATTTGGGTGTTGCTGTTGGTGAAGTGCATAATCCTGCAGCAGATGATGCATTTGATGATGATGATGATAGGATAGGCCTACTACAAGAACAAGATGGAGCAATGCATAATGACAGTACAAGATCAGCTGCATTTTTCATTGGTTCTCTTTTATCAAACACCAACATGACCCATGCTATGACAAACAGAGTGTTATCTGCTGCAACAGCTTTCAATACTGATGTTGTTGACAGTTTAAGGAGCAAAGTTATTCAGACTTTTGAGGCCTTGGGTATTGACCTGGAGAATGAAGAATGTAAGAATCTCTTAGCTGAATTTGATTCAAAAACAAATATTCACAAGGTAACAGCTATTATACTAACCGACCAATCAGATCAGGTTATGCAGTCAGCACTCGATGTTAAGTGCTGCATATTGTTATAGCACTCGTTTTCTGCACTCAAATATTCAGCACGTTTCGGTTTCCTTGTTAAAGTTAACCCGTCAAGTGCTGATTTTGGCACTTCAAGTGCAGAATCTCACTCAGCACCCAACATTTAGCACCTCAGTTTTTTGCGTGTACATTACCAAAAAAAAAAGAAGACTTACAAAACAAAGGAATGTGACCTTTACTCATATATTAACAGTTGCAGGTACACATGTATAATGAATTCAAGATAAACAAAGATACAAAATACTATCTGACCTAATCTGACTATTAAAAATGCATACATCAAAAAAAATAAATGAGTACATCGTGCGCTATATGGCGCAACAAAACAAAAAAAAATTGAAGCAGGATGTAACCAATTAAGAAAGGTAAGAACCATGAATTTGACAACAAGCAGTATAATTTCATGATAATGTGAAGGAACTTACAACATACCGAAAACAACGAGTAGAACATTTGCCCGCAAATAGATGCAAAAGTTAGGGCACACCCTATGTAATTTGGCAGAAATTAAATAGCAAATGGTGTAAAACATTGAAAATAGCATAACATCTGAAAGAGAACTAAGAGTACACACAGTCACATCATTTTCGAATAGATGATAAGAGAAAAAGACAGAGAGGTAGACACAGAGAGCGAGGTAGGGAGGTTAGATAGAAGAAACGGAAAGTACAGTAGAAAACAGGCAATGGCAATGTACAAAAAACATAACAATTGAAGAGACAAAAATAATTAAATCCAAATAATTATAGAAAGTACGCATGGTAATCAATATGGAGCTCACATAGTTCCATTGGATATAAAAACTGACAGTTCGTCGTAAACAAGTCCTCCGATATAAGTTAAGGCACTCAATGTCCGCAAAAAGAAATATAGTCTGGGAAAAGTTATTTATCGTCAGCCAACAGTTCGGTCAGGAGTGACGATGCCTGGTGTATTTTCTTCTATGGTAATTTAGTATACAAATCTGTCAGGGGCTATAGATCTCCGTGAAGAGCGGCGAGGGGAGAAAGTGTCTTTCTGGCTAGTCTGGGTACCAGTAGTACAAGTATTAGAAAAAGAAACATTACTACGAACTTTCTTAGATTGTTCCCTTACCCATTGTGGAATGTCATTACTTTTGAACGGTTTAAGACAATCATGATGCAGGACTTTAACTTTTCCCTTCTGTTGCGCTTTAATCTCAAACACTATGTCACTCATTTTCCTGGTTACCACACATGGACCAACCCAGAAAGCAGACTTCAGTTTTGGGGAAAGTCCCTTCTTTCTAGTTGTGTCTAAATAGTAGACTAAATCCCCTGGTCTGTAGGTGTTTACTGATAGTCTCGCATCATAATCTCTCTTCTGTCTCTGAGTTTGTGAGGCAAGATGCTCACGAGTTAAGTTGTATGCTTCCGTCATCGTTGAGACGATGTTGGCGGCGTATTCATGATAGTCCCGGTCATTGATGTCGGGCTTGTCTACACTAAGTGCTATTTCAATTGGGGTTCTAACCTCACGCCCCAACATGAGAAAATTTGGTGAAAATCCAGTAGTCTCATGAATAGTGCTTCGATAGGCTGATGTCAAGAGCGACAAATTTAAGTCCCAGTTCTCCTGCTTTTTGTCAACATAAGCAGACATCATATTAACAAGTGTTTGATTAAATCGTTCAATCATACCGTTAGATGACGGGTGGTATGGTGTAGTCCTTGTTTTCGTTATTTCCAGTAGCTGGCACACGTGCTGGAAAAGTTGTAATTCAAATGTCTTGCCTTGGTCTGAATGTATTTCCAACGGTATGCCCCATCTAGCGATAAATTCATTCACCACGATGTTGGCGACAGCACGAGCTGTTTGATCAAGAATCCCATAGGCCTCGATCCATTTGGTAAATACATCTCCCACTACCAAAACATAACGGTTACCTTGGTTACTGATGGGAAATGGACCCATGATATCGAGAGCGACACGATCCATAGGAAATCCAGAGTTATATTTACCAAGAGGGCCATTTGGTTTCGATGTCGGACGCTTGCGGGCACCACATGTTACACAATTACCAATATAAAGTTTTACAGATTCTCTCATGTTTAACCAGTAAGATCGTTGCTGGATTCTACTGAAAGTCTTTTTTACTCCGAGATGCCCTGATAGCACAGACTTGTGATTAGACTCCAAGATCTGATCATGCAGTATGAAGGGGACGAAGAGTTGTCTAGTAGTAGTTAATTTATGATTAGTGACATGCCGTTTGTATAGAACACCGTCAATCAATTCAAGCTGAGTCCATAAGAGCCATAAATTCCTGACGATTGGGCTTTTGTCATGTACTAAGGCTCGATTAGGTCTTTCAGGAGACTCCGAATCCATTTGTAGATTATGCCGACGTCGGGGTCGTCGCGTTGCATTGTCAACAAAGTTTCTCGGTCAAAATAATCACGCAGGACTTCCCGCTGCCCAGAGTTCCCTCCAGCGATGGCACCTGTGTCCGAGGCGCAGGGCAGGTTATCACTAGCTCTGACATTAACCGATGAATGTTTAGTTCTTGACTTCAATCTCGATGTCGACGCATTTCTCACTACTGAAACTCTAAATGGGGATGGCCAATTCCCTCTCTTCATTACATCAAATCCATCTCTCACATAACGTTATCCTCTAAGCTCTAAAACAACAATATATAAGATAAAATCCAAAACAATCCTCGGAAGTCGACAAAACATCTTAACAACGAATACGACTATGATTAGTATCATGGTGATGATATTAGAGAGTCGACTTGAATGGCTTGAGTCCTCTGGTTTCAATGGCGGCGTCTGGTCGCTGTAGTCACTTACTGATTTCAAGCGTGTTTGCTGCACTCTCATATGGGTACCGGGAACGACATCGTCGTCCTCGTCGAAGAACTGTGACCAGGCCTTGTGCCGCTTCACACTCGTTGTACATCCACCGCATGGCAATTGTTCAATGATAGTTTCTTTGTCATAACAGTCACATGATTCTGGATCACATGGTATTCGAGACATTGCGTCTGCATTACCATGATTCCTGCCAGCACGATGTTCGATGTCGAAGTCGAACTGGCTGAGAATCTCAATCCACCGGGCAAGCTGGTCTGTAGGTTCGCGAAATGACATAATCCATCTAAGGGAAGAATGATCTGTGCGCACAAGAAATTTCCTCCCAAGTAGGTAATGTCGAAAATGGCGAACAAACGAGACGATTGCCAGCAATTCCCGTCGTGTAGTGCAATATCGGCGTTGAGTTTTGGTCAATGTCCGGCTAGCAAAAACGACTGGTCTCTCAACTTCTCGTTGGGTGACGTCATCCCACTGGATTTGAGATAAGACCGCGCCTATTCCCGAAGAAGATGCGTCGGCATCAAGAATAAACATGCCGTGGTCATCGGGGTAGGCCATGGCGTTGTCGCTAATCAGTACGTTTTTCAATTGTTCCAAGGCTGTTTCACAGTCGTCATTCCACTCAAATTTACTAGATTTTTCAAGTAGCCTGTTCAAAGGAGCCGCAATTGTCGAAAATCCACGGATGAACCGGCGATAGTAGGAGCACAAACCAAGGAAAAAAACGGACATCGCTTATCGATGTCGGTGTCGGCCAGCTCCGCACTTGTTCAACTTTTCCCGGGTCAGGCCTGATGCCAGCCGCGCTGACGACATGTCCAAGGTAAGATACTTCAGTTTGGAAGAGATGACACTTACTTGGCTTTAGCTTAAGTCCTGCTTGTCCAAGGCGCCCGAGAACCTCGTCGAGACGGTTGATGTGCTCCCCAATAGTCGAGCTCATAACAATGATGTCGTCAAGATATAAAATCAAGGTTCGCCACTGAAGGCCTTTCATGATGAGTTCCATTGCACGCTCAAATGTGCCAGGAGCATTGCATAGTCCAAATGGCATCGTGACATATTCGTAGTGTCCAGTCCGCGTACTAAATGCTGTTTTGTGACGGTCCTCCTCTTCAATGTCTATCTGCCAGTAACCTGACTGTAAGTCTAAAGTTGAGAAGATTTGTGCACCTCCTAAGCAATCTAGGCAGTCTTCTATGCGAGGTAGTGGATAGGCATCTTATCTTGTGACGTCATTTAGTTTTCGGTAGTCAACGCAGGGCCGGGTCGTGCCGTCACGCTTCTTGACATACACAAGCGGGCTCGACCAAGCACTCGTTGATTCCCGAATGATGCCCATTTGCAGTTGTGTCTCGATTATTTTCTCCTCCTCATCTATGAATGCTCGAGGTGGGCGACGAGGTCGCTGCTTGATTGGAGCTCCATCTCCAGTGTCAATGCTGTGCTGAACAATGGAGGTTCGTCCAATATCAGTAGAAGAAGATGCAATTGTAGATGAATGTTTATCCAGCAAGGCAAATAACTGATCCTGTGTATGCGGGTCTAATCCTTCACATGATTTCTGATATAATGTCTGTAAGTCATCTGGCCAGCTCTTTTGCGAAACCTCTTTACTCGAATCAGCCTTTACTGTGCGAATGCTGGGGTTTGAACTCTTGATTACATCATTATTACACATATCACATACATCACTGATTAATTCCATTGAACCTACATGTATTCGCATTCCAGCATGAAGATTAATTTCTTCACTTGATGTGTTAACGACTCGCACTGGTATGTCAATATCATCCCGAGTTACATCGATGAGACATCCCGCGACATGAAGATTCTTTATATTCCACTCATGAGCGGTTTGCTCAATAATAGCACATGCTTTGGAATCAATATCACAATTGTCTATCTTTCCTGGTACAATGAACTCAGATCTGGGCGGCACCACAACATCATATTTCACATAAACTGCACTTCTAATAGAATTACAGTCCTAAAGTTCGATTGGAATCAAAATATTATCAATATGAAGCCCACGTCTGGCCTCGAGGGTACAATTAAAATGGTGCATAAAATCAAAGCCAATCGGACCTTCATCACTTATATCTGCAATGTATGCATTCCATTCAAAATCTTTAGAACCAACATTCACAGTTGCTCCAATAATTCCATGTACATTTAGAATTCCTTTATCCGCTGACTGGAGCTGAACATGATCCGACAAGGGGATTAATTTTGGGCGAGTTTCGGTGGGCATTTGTTCATACAGTTTTATCGACATAACTGTCACTGCTGCCCCAGAATCGACCAAAAGTTTGCACGAGGCCCCATTCACATTTCTTGTGATATACGCTGTGAGTCCGTTCGATTCATCAATGCGAATTATTCTAGGGCCCGATTTAACTCCATGGCCGGCCTCGACCTGGTCGATGAGGTCGGCCCTGTTTAGTTTCCCGAAGTATTGTCCCTGGCTGGTTCTGCTGCCTGTTGTTTCGGTGGTTGCGGCTGGAATGGTACGTGTTGCTGCGGCGGCTGCGGCTGAAAAGGAAGAGGTTGCTGCCATTGTGGAGGTTGTGGCGGTTGTTGTTGCACCCAGTTCGGTCGACTGCTAAAATACTGGGGTGCAGGAATTTGGCCACCATTATAGGGTGGTACACGACAGTTACGGGCAAGATGACCAAGCTTCTGACAATTATAGCAACGAGGTGGTGGTCGATCACGAGGTTGCTGCTCTCTCGTCTGTCTCGCTGGTCGTTCTGGATCATCTCGTGGCGGCTGCTGAAAAAGTTTAGTTAGTTGTTCAATTCGCTCATCAATGGAGATGGTGCGGCGCCTTAACTCGATATACTTTTCATTGTTCACTGCGTCCTCTGACGTCGCTGACAACGATCGGATTTGTCGAGCTCCTCTGCCGGATTCCTCTTGGAGAGGGTGAAATCGCTCAGCAATCTCCCGAGCTTCTTGGAGAGTCGCTGGCTCTCGCATCCCTATAAGCCATAGCCATAGAGCTATCACCAAGCCCTCGAAGAAAATGGCGGGTCCCGATCATTTCTCTTGTTGCAGCATCCGCCGTCAGGTAGCCAAAATGTCGTGAGGCGGCGAATATCTGCAGCATAGTCAGCAATTGATTCCCTCTGACCAAGACGGCGTAATTCTAGCTGCGACACAAGCGTAGAAGGCGTCTTCCTTGCAGCAAAACGATGCTCGAGGGCAGATATCAAATTCACGAAGTCAGCGATGTCGTCTGGGGCGAGCTGCTGGAAGACGAAATCTGCTGCATCACCTCGGAGACAGGCGAGAAGACGAACACGCTGCTCCGACTCCTCCCAGCCACAAGTAGCCGCGAGGTTTCTAAAAGACGATACAAAACTCTCCCATGATCGTCCTGTACCATTATACGGCTCTTGGGGTGGTAATTGGACTTTCACTCCAGTGTGAATGGACACCTCATTTCCATCTCTCCATTCAGTATTTTCACTAGCATCATTGTCATTGTCGATATCATTCGGCTCGCCGATTTGTTTCTTGGCGATGCTGAGTTCTGCCTTTAACTCCCTGATCTCTCTCTCAAGATCGACTTTTCGCTTCCTCGGAGACATGGTATCGTATTTAAAGCACGTGTTAAAGTCTGAATCCCACTTCTGACACCAGTGTAACGGCGACTTATACTGTTCGACAATAGGAAGTAAAAGTCCCAAAATATATTAGCCCCGTTATATGTTGAAGTTAAGTTGTTAGGGGTGGCCGAGATTCAGGGAGAATAAACACTCGAGAGGCAGAAATTACAGTTGAGGAGTTTATTACAGCAAACCCAAACACATTTACAAGGATGGATAAAAGAGAATGTCTTGCGAATCAGAGAGGCAAAATAATGCAGCAGGCGTTAGAACAGGCTAAAAAGATAGACTAACATGACTGGAGACCATTTCTGAAGAGGTTGGCTCTCGATCCCATTCGTAGAGTACTCTCGCTTCAAACACTGTGATGACAGGCTTGTCACACTAACTGACACAATTAACTCTCGACAGCTCACTAGTTTCACTCTTCACTGACAGATTCTTCGCTCCTAACTGCCTAAGATACGAATGCAGTCTGTCTTATCAGGGATATGTAACTCACATATCCCTGGTCTTATATACCCTGCGAGAGAGATGGAGAAAAACCATTCATGTAGGTCACAAGTATCGCGCTGCGGAGTATTTAGGAGAAGGGCGTCATTGAGCACATAAATAGAGAGCTCAAAGTCATATTGAGAGAGAGGATACAAGGACAGAAGAGAGTCAAGACAAGAAGCAGGCTGAAAGGGCTGAAGGACAGTGCAAGGTTGAAATGAGAGTTTCGGGCAAACAAGAGCGAAGGGGAAAGAGCGAGAGCTCTGAGAGTCAGGCAAAGTCAAAGTGAGAAGTGACAGAGTGAAAGTTCTGAAAGTGAATGCAAGGTCAAAAGTGAGGAGAGAATAGAACTCCGCTGTATGCACAGCAATTGGGATCGAGCTGGCTGGATTTGTAATAGCGTAATTATAGCAAGACATCCTTAACATAGACTAGTACAATAATCATGGATAGTTGTAAAGTAGACTAAAGCATTGAATAAAATATATACATAATATTACATCAAATATCTTAATCAAACTGCGTGACAATACACATAAAACAATGATCCTGCCTAGATAATGTGCGGAGATTTATGTTACTTGCTATCTTAGTCTCTAATAAGAATAAGACCTACGTGTACCTACATCGCGGGCAGATCCAGGATTTTGTTAAAGAGGGGGCATAATATTCTTTTTTTTTTTTTTTTTTACTGTTGCATGACCTAATAATATATAATGTAAACATTAAAAATAAACTGTGCGCCGCGTCTACAAGAGGCATTTCTAGGGGATTTTTTTTCAGGGGGGGGGGGGGGGTTGGGCTTAGGGGTAATTACATTCATTTTCTATACGTTAACTCTACAGCTGTCCATTTTAGGAATGCTCTCAGAGAAACGGTATCAGAACTGTATGCCATGCTTTATTGTAATATTGTATCTAAGATGTATTATTGGGCAGCCTGGTTTTTGCGGTACCACCCTCCCCCCGTTTGATAAAAAATCATGAGCTGCATCCAACATCCCCACTATCATTATAACTGAGACAAATTGCATTTCAGGTGGTTCCTTTGGGACCGGAGAATGGTGCCGAAGACCATGACGACAAGAAAAACGACGATGACGATCTTGTGCAGATTTCTAAGACTGCTTCTGAGACACGCTCTGTGATTGGTCAGAAGATGGTCACGATGGTCGAGATGAACGATGACGTCATCAAGCACACAGGTCAGCTACATGTTTATCAACAAATTGTTTCAAGACAATTGTACAAACTGCGAAAAGAAGGAATCAATTATTCATTGATTCTCTAGAATCGGGAAATATGGCAAACACAATAATGTTAAAAGCATTGTTTTGTGTAGTAAATGTCCTTGACTTTTCTCCTTTTGTTTCCCCTCTCAGTTTGATGCCCCTGCTTTATAGTCAACCTGGATATAATTTTTGGCCATTTCTTGATTAACGCCCAATTCCAATGTTCAACTATAAGTCATATGAATTCAGTTCCTATCTAGATAAACCTTGTGCCCATAATAATACTAATGTAAACGATTTGATCAGTCAATGGTCAAGCGTGTTCTAAGAAACGGGTATTTTTTTTTTATTATAAGCATTTTACATTTCATTCCTATTACGCAATTCTTGAACCATGCACTCTACTAAAGTTTATGGTTTACTGTCACATGACACTTATTGACTATTATTAAAATCCATCATTTTTATTTGTGAACTCTGTGGCCAAAGAAACACGAAACGAGGCTAATAGTGATGAATATACAAGGGATTTTATTTAATCTGTTACTTTATAATATAGCACGGAGACGTGTTTTTAATATGTCAAATCTATGATTATGGCTGTAAGATATTTTGATTGCTAAATTGATACTACATAATTATGATTTGGCTTGAAACTGAATGCATTTTCAAACCATTGAAAAAAGGCCTTCTTTCTCTTTCTTTCTTACTCAG